ACTACGAACGTATGAACACCGGTCTCGAATAACGTTACGAAAAATGGGCCTCGACTGTGTTCCTAAAATATAGTCGCCTCGATGCAATGATGACATGAGCGAACTTGTTTTACATTGGTCGAGAAGATTAATATTGAAGGAAACAGGCGTGAAGATAATCGCATTGTTCGTGTTCTAAACGATATGTGCACTTTATTTATTTAAAGTAACACAATCGCATTTAAAGAAATTGCAAGGGCATAAGTACATATATTAATATTTACGCTTTAAACTACGTATATATGAAAGTTGTGTTCATAACATTGTGGTTTTATTGAACAACACATTTATTTTATTTGTTATTATTTTTATTGTTATAAACCAAAATTTTAAAAGTGATGGACAAAGACTAAATTTTTTATATAAGTACTTTAAGTAATAAAATTACTCATGCAAATTTTTATTGAAATTCATCAAATTAGTTTATAACAAATAAATATTTTATTTATTTACTGAACTAATGTCGCATTTCAATGTAACTTTACATAAATATTCTTGAATTTATAAAGTACTTATATAAAAGAAATTGAGATTTTTATCATTATTTTAATATTTTATTATTTTAATACATTTTCATATATTTCTATTAAAATACAAATTTTTAAAATATTATTTTTTATTGAAATAACTTTTAACTCCAGATGCTAAACTATCTCTAATTTTTTGTATTACTTTTAAATACAATTTAGAATAATCTGTAATTTTTTCATCAAGTAATTCTTAACATACTGCATTTCATCAAAATAAATAAATGACAAAATTAAACAAAAACGTGAAGTTGATATCCCATACTTTCAAATTATTTTGTTTTGCATTTAATCATAACTCTATTCGAAGTGTTTTATTAATTATATTAAAATTTTGATAATGAGATGATGATAATGAAATGAGATGAATTTTACAGCGGTGATATTATGCATGAATCATAGGATGTGCGAGTCACATGTTGATCTCCAAGTCACGGAACAGACAGTACAAACGTCTTTTTCTAATAAATGTCAAAAAGTAACAAGCCATCTGGTAATGATACAAAGGCGATGGTAGTATCAAACGACCTGCAATTTTCTTTTGGTAGAAAAAGTTAGGGTCTTCTACGAACGTATTTCGTAGAGGTAGCTTCGATTTACTATCTTCCATGCTTGTTAGACTTTTTTTGCGGCCAACACAGTGAAGTGGTGATTCAATTGCGGACGAAGTCGCGGTCAGGCCACGTACGCGGTCCACCCTCGATTTATTTTACTGACTCTCCATCCAAGGGTGCAGCAGGATGGTGATCGATCAAAGGTAAAGGATCGATGGTTAAAGGCATAACAGCTGGTTCGATTTTCACCTTTCTTTAAAATTTAGGAATACTTCGATTCACGCTGTCAGGAAGAATAAAGGAGTGTCGAATGTACCTCGAAGATCTTAAATTAAGAATTGTATAACAGAGTTTGTCCATGAACGATTTTATCAAAATCAACCAAGAGAAAAAGATACCTACTTGTACATATATGTACATACATATACTATTTCACTCTAACTTATACTGTACAATATGATCTTAATTAAAATTATAAAGTGAGACAATATAAATTAAAGTAACGTAGTACAGGGTGTTTGGAAAGATTGAGATCAAATGTAACACTTATGTAACGTATTAATGAGATCGAGTAAGTGAAAAAAGTTTATATAAACTCATGTCTGAAAATGCTTTATTAAAAAATTATAAACGTTCAAAGATCATTTTTATTAAATGATATGATGATTACGATAAATGTTCGAAAATAGATTTGGCGCTGACCTATCCGGACATTCTGTATATACAAAAAAGAAATGTATATACTAATTAAGTAAGTACGCTAAAAGATTTTAAGATTCCTCACATAAATTCAAGACTTTATACATATAACCATATATTTGAAATGGTTTACAATTATTTTCGAAGATATTATAAATATTGGGATATTATAAATATTATAAACAAATAACGTTTTTCTTTCTAAAAATTTCGAAAACCATAACTTGAATTATTTTAATGAAACTTTGTTTAAAATTTCATCAATTTGAAATTTTTGAAAAAATAAAACTTATTTACATCTTATATCTTTGAAACTAAGCCTTTTCAGATACATGGTTATACGAAATTTTTGTCTTAAATTTATATAAGGAATCACTCCTTAAAATATTTTTAGCGTACTTAGCATACATTCTGTATATCTTTCTCGTAAAATTTTTAACAAAATCGTTCGTGGCCAGAGATTATAGAGTCTCCATCTTAAACTTAAGAGCACTCTTGGTGTCAAGTATAAAATATATCTTTTGCATAATGCTTTATGAATATATTTGCGTCGGTAAACCAGAGAGACGCGACAATCGACTGCACATTGTTTACATCTGATTAGCAAACAAAATTGAAAAGTAACATTTGACAATTGCGAATATTATTATAAATGTATTATAACAAAATTTGATATCATATACTAATTAAATATTATCAAATATTTGTTACAGTACCTATTTGTTTGCAGTACCTAAACTGTAATTAATATATCTTGATTGTTTGCGATTGCAAATTGACAACTAAATAAATACAAATGAAAATGTTTCGTCAGTTAGTTTTTCATTTTTAACAAAATATTTCGACAATAATTATCAAAAAATGAAAATTGATTCCCGACAAATTCCCGGCGCGACGGTTCAGTTGGACGATTGCCGAAGTAATTGATCGTTCCTCTTAGCAACTACCAAGAACGTCGTTGAATTCTCGAGATACCAGCAGTACATCGTAAAACGAACGACGTCGTGCGTGTCTCTTCGTGGAATGTTCGCGAAGAGAAGTCGTTCAGGGACGTCCGAGAAGAAAATGAAGTTCCTTCGCTTGTAGATGGCTGACTAAAGTGGACAATGTCCACTGACGAAAGTCAATAGATTGTAGGTATAATTGAATGTTGATGGGAAGTACGGAACATTGTGAGGTCTTAATTTCGGCATCGTTAGCGTTGCAAAAACGTCCTCAATTACAGTTAACGACAAACTCCTCGTGTTCTCGTTAACATCGTATCTTAACGATGCCCGTGCTCTTCTCGACTTCCAAGCAGCGAAATCGGGGAAAGTACACGCTCTTTGGGAACCCATAATTTTCAATAATATTCTACCAAGCGCTGTACACTGAATAGAATTACAAACAATACACTGAATAGAATTACGCCCCGTAATTATCGTTAGTAAACTTATACGAATTTAGTTTAATCATTTAAATTAAAGGATGCAAAGTGATTCTTTTTGTATGAATAAATTAGTTTCTCTATTAAAACAAATATATCTTAAAAACTGCGCGAAAAATATGTACGATAGTGTTTATTTTAAATTATTATATAAAATTAAGATTTTTCTCAAAAGTAACACGAACAAATAGAAAGAAAGCACACGGAAAGAATGATTTTGCTGAAGTATCTAACAATTTAATTAGATAAAGATTCGAAAATAATTTGCTTATCAAAATAACTATGTAGGACGTTCAAATATAATGAATAATGCTGCAAAATGTTTTACATTTTAGTAATTAGCTTGAGCGTCTTACATAATTATTTTAATGATCTAATAAAATTATTTTTAGATATACCTCTAGCTAAATTTTTTACCTTAAAACATTTCTTCCCTGCAGTCTGGCAAACATATAAGGTTATGTATATAAATAGCGTATATAACAATTTCATTTAATGATGCTCTACATTGTAAGCTTAGAATTTGTGCGCGACGAGATAAGTACCATCGGCTGTACTGCAAAACGTTATTATGCGGAATAATGTGTCATAATAATGATAAAGAAAGATTCTTTTCACAATGGGACCGTTAAATCCGCTCACATTTTACTCCATCGAGAAGTTGGATATTCATTACTCCAGTAATAGAAATAAAATGTCGCAATGCGCGAACAACAAAGGGATCTCAAGCCTCATGAAACAGTAATAAGCTGTTGTCTCCTTACGATACTCGTGCTTGCTTTTGGTATTCCTTGCGTGGAAATGAAGATCTCTCTGTGTTGCCGCAGACCACCCTACTCGCAAGTCGGTCAGCAAACGGTGGAAGTCTGGTTTGTCAGATAATTGAGATCCACCAATGGGAATCCGAGAAACTTGGAGAATCCCGGTCGACGGACTGTAACGATCCTGTGTACCGCGGACGCGGAGATTCGCCGAGATGGTATTTCCAGCAACAAGATTTAATGGAAGGGCGGGAAAGAGAGAAAAGGGAAGAAATATGCTTTTGTCTTGCGTACGTTTACTGCATGATCATTGATTCCTACGAGCATGAAACAAAAATTCCAGACACGTCGTATCCACCCTCACGAAAATTAAGCGGGTTCTTAGCACCTCGAGATATCGCCGCGCGATAGCGACGCAACGAGCGGCGATATCTCGAGAAATCATCATTGCGAGTTAGTGTGAGGCGTTTCAAAAGAATCCGTATATCTTGTAGCTCGATGATTTCTCCTCAATCGCATACAAAGCGAATCTCTCGAACGGAAACTCTCAGTCATCTAGAATTGATTCCGTCAGTATTTCCTCCGGGCAAACCTGTTTTCCTCGAAATAATGTAAGTATAATGCCAAGCGATCCCCTCTTGTGTACGGTTATTGCATTTCATTTCGGCTGTGGTCTTGCTCTCCTTTCAACGATCGTTCGGAAAAATACGGTATAAAGAATACAGGACAATCTCATATCTTCAATAACGATAAAGAAATTTAAAAAGGGAAAATTATAGAGGAAATTATAAAGAAATCTTTATTGTGTTGCTTTCCGTTATAATTATAAAAAAGAAAGAAAAAAGAGCATCAATAAATCTCTATTAGACATCCTTTTTTGTAATAAAGATAAAATGTTTTTGACATAGGGAAAGCGATATAAATGAAAGTTGCTTAAAAGTAAAAAAATCGCAAATTGAAAATATTGTGCATGCGATTTTCTCCCTCATTGCAGAACCGGTGACGGAAATAGCCGGCGGTCCTGAACTGTTCATCAACAAGGACAGCACGATAAATTTAACATGCTACGTGAGACATGCGCCTGAACCACCGTCAACGATAATTTGGAGTCATAACCATCAGGTAAGCCGAACTTACGATCCGCGAATGAAGATTTTACTACTTGCTGAAAATCACCTGTCATGCTGCTATAAAGTCATGAGAGATGCTTTCAATTGAAAACCGATCTGAATTTCATAACCGATGCTAGTTTTGAGCGGACCACAGATATCGGTATAAACAGAAACATTTTTCATGTTCCTTGCGGCTGTTGAAAAAAAGCCTGCAGCTATACACGCTTCTATTGGCCTGGTATATCGATTATTGCTAGCAGCGCGTCTTTCGTTCCTTCAGACGTGTAATATTTATCGAAGACGCCAACAATAACTTGCTTCAATAATATATATGATTCCGTTCGAGCGACTTGGCAATCATGATTAAAAGATTCGTGTATTAGAGACACCTTTTTATAATACGATCGTACTCATTATTAAATAAGAGAAAGAATTCTATTTTTGGTCGAAGCGGACCTTGATTCTTAATAATACTCATATGCAAATTTGCAAGTATCTACATTCTTCAGTTTTATAAATTGCGCGCCAATTTAATTTGTCAGATTTGAAACACAATTATAAACTGAAATTGGAACATTAAAAATGACATGATAACGTTAAAAATTGAAAAATAATATCCTCTCATTAGTTATTGCGACAAATATTTCCACATGTCTCGATGAATTGATAAAATGCCTGATTTGGAAAGTGACGGGAGTTGTAAACAACTATGGAGATGATATTTTTCGCATTAAGTTCTTTGCACAGTTATTAGCATTGTTTAAACAATCGACGATCAATAATAATTTGTGAAAGTATTTTCAATTTAAGATTGCGATTTTTATATCCGATAAACTAAATCAGCGACAGTTTATATAATTAAAAAGTGTATTTTTGTAAATAAATATTATTAAGATCTGCTTCGACCGAAAATAGGATTTGTTCTCTTATTTAATTTATTCTTATCAGTATAATTTCCACTTATAATTATTCTTATTGTAGTACTATAATTTAAATATTTCCATTAAATATAACAAAGTTTCTCTCAATTTATTTGTTTAAGAACATTGCGAAAGTTTCTTGGGAAGTGTGCATCTAAGGATGACCACATTATTAATAATAGCCAAATGAAATGCTCTCGTAACGTTACGTTAGTTTCATTTGAGTTTAAGAATCTCACTATAACGCTTATTTATGTGAACGCGCGTATAACTGGAATAACCAAGATGATTGCATAGACGCTTTAAGTTATAATTTTGGGAAACTTGTCTCGAAATGGTTTATACCATTCAAGGAATTTACTTACAGTCACCACTTTTGCCTCCTCCACTTCCCACAAAGTGCCTTAAGCCCCGTCTAGTCACGTCACAGACAGATGATATGGCATCTCTTCTACCGTGAGAAGGCAATTAAGTTCTGGGTCAATTAATTATGCGTGCTTATATTGCTATTGTTTGTGGCAATTATCTTAAATATTAATTCAATAAATATATAGAAAATATATAGTCTTGATGAATGAATGCAATATCCTGGCATTAATTGCAGGGCAAATTCCACATCTATATTGGTAAAAAGTTTTAATTTTGTTACTATTATGTTTTTTTCATAAACATATAAAAATAATATAAAATTGATAACATATTTGATTATTTTCAAAATTTCTGTTTTAGAAATATATTTTTAACATATTAATTTAAATTAACAAGATTTTATTATAAAGATTTTTGTTATTGTTAATTCGTTTTTTTTTATTCATTTATTTCTTTTTAAACTATCATAATTGGTGATTTAATAATAAAGCAGAAAATTTTGTGCACAAAGTAAATAAATATATTATAGTATTAAACATTTTTCCAATTTAGAGCATTAAATAAAATCCGGATTTACAATAGTTTTTTTACCATTGAATTTTTCAGTCCAACCCGATTAATTGAGATTTTCCATTTATTTGAATTTGGCTGAATATTTAATATTTATTTCAACTTTATATTGTGCGATTCCTTTTAGCCAAAATTGTTATTAATTTTTCTTGCACAAACAAATGCACGCACATTCATAAATTAAACAATCATGACCGCAATTTCTGCTGGTATTAAATTAATTTGATCAAATATGATTAATTTAGTGACGCAATAAATTCTGTCCTAATGAAACTTATAAAACAAACATACATATATGATAATTTGCATAGCCAATTGGATCGTTAATTATCAATTATTATAAAATGTAACACCTACGATTGTAATAAAATTATAAATAAAATTTGAAAATAACATTGCATTGTTATGATGCATTATCTGTTTTTTAAAGAACATTAAAGATATAAAAGAGCAATTTATTCCTGAAAAGTCAGTGTTGTCAATTTTATATCGAGTTTAAATAAGATCTATTTATTGTAATCAATAAGAATCTTTTTACTGCTTAAACAATTGTTATAAAAGTTGAAGTTTAATGTTTAAAATTTAGATAGAGAATACAAATTTACAAAACCTAAAATAAATTGTATAAATCTTTTTTTATATATGTATATATATAT